ATGTTGTTGATATTCGCGATACATGTGTTCATGTATGTTCCTACAGTGAGTCCTAGATGTCAATACGCCTTTTTCAGGTCTTTTGTACGTACGTGGAAGTTAGCCAATGATGGAATTATCGAAACTTCCAATAGGCTAAAAAATTGGCACAGAAGTCTAGCTGGAGTATTTGCAAAGGGAAGTCAAGACTTGCATCACTGTGTGTGTTAGACATGAGTACATCTCTTACGATCAAGACTGTTTAGTCGAGAAACTTCTTTCCGGTTAAAATCGCCGCAAATGATTACCAACGTCTCGTTGTGAAAAATGGTTAAGACTTCTTCCAGACCATTTAAAAACGCTTGAACGGATAACCTTGGGCAGGTTGTAATGAAAATTCTCAAAGATGACTGCTTTGAATTACCGTTGATAATTAGTCTAACGTTCTAACACAATGCCCTCGATGTCATCTTTCGCATACCTCCAAAGAACCTTCCTGTCAAAAGATCATGCATTATTAATTAGAGTGATGTTGTATCTCCCCAACAACTTTTCGTGCTGTAGGATTTATTTGGACGAAAAGTAGTGAAGCCCTTCTGGTCGATTAAGGAATTAGGGATTATTATCAGAATACAACCAGGAGTCTTGTAACAGTACGGCGCAGGCATTTCCGAATATTTTGCAGTCTATAAGCGATGTTGCTTCATTAACTTTAGGTGGATAGGAGCAGCAGTTGTCTGATAGAACAAGGAGAACTGTTATTTCGGCTGTGGAATGACGTTTAAGCGCTTTTTACCATTCATCTTAACAGCCTATATGTAACGATGAAATTTTTCCTAGAGTGGCATATGGAATAATGCTACGGAAAATTTTATGTGCCGCTTCAGTCAAACATTGAAAGCAATAGCAAGACTCGATTCGAAGCTTGACAGTTTCCTGCAGCATGAAAATCTGATCAGCTTGTTACCACAGCACATGCTATCGCACGAAAAATTTCATTGAAAAATTAAAGCAGAATTTGGAGTATAAGATGATTGATGATAATGATACAGTTTTGCAGTACGATAGAAAAATCAAACGTCGCAGATACATAGAGACAAGACAAAGCGAAGTGGTAAAGGAAACAGTAGCCGATAAAAGACACTTGAATGTTGTACAACTTCGCGACATTAACTTGAAGATCTTTTTCGCCACTGTTACGATACAAATGATTAGTGAAGTTCATGCATAGCTTTAAGCTCGGTATTAATATTTAAGGCATGACTGGCCGTTATTGGACGTTTTCGTCCGAATGCTTATTTCATATTTTCTTTAGAGTTTAACGACAATTAAGCTGTAGCTTGAGTGTAGTTGTTGGAAAGGAAGGTGACTCCAGGATCGTCGAAGTAAGCTATTTGAAATGAATAAAGCATTTATGAGTTTTGAGTTCAACAGCACAAGTATTTAGTTTTTCATGGTAGCAGAGGCACTGAAATTTTTTTGTTTTCTTTCGCAGTATTCATCTGTTAATAATCCTGGACAGTTGTATAAGGGGTTGCTATGTGATGGGTTTCTTATGTTGATGGGTTAATAGGTTTCTTTGTATTTACTTGTGTCTCGACCTCAGTAGCTGAACTTGGATCACATGGTTGTCAAATTTTGCTGTGATGGTAAAATCGAGTCACAAACGAATAGAGATGTTAGTGACTACTGGGCTGAAAAAATTGTGAGAATATCTTAGCTGTTGGTAGCGACAGTTTCGTGGCGTAGCTGCTGGTGAAGACGAAATTCGAGGCGTCATGCTAGAAGGTATGAGTTGTGGTGTTATTTTGATTGGCTCGGGTATGCTAGGTTACTTGAAGCTCTGGAACAGCGCAAAGCAGTAGCAATCTCTACATTCAACATGGGGCGTCCGCGAGACCGAAACAATTACCCTCCTATTTTTCTGTCCAGCCTAACAGATGAAGCGGAACAATGAAAGTATATTCGAACAGATGAGAAGTTGTTGAAGGTCTTTATTTTGTAAAACTGTCGAGCTGCTTCAGGCGCATCTGTAGAATATGGGGCATTGAGGCAGATCTGTTTTAGACGAGGAAGATAGGTTTTGCAGCAGTGAAAGACTTTTGAATTATAGTAGAGATCTGAGATGCCGTTTCTAACGCTTCGCAGATCGCCACTCCTAACGATCATGTTGCTCAGAATTTTCTAGCTTTATGTGGCAAAGGCAACTGCAGCAAGATTATTTTGTGCACGGAAAAACCGAAACAAACTTACAAAATCCTGCTGTCACTTATCATTTATCACTTTCACTGATCCTGACTTAGGCGGCATATTTGTACTGTCGTCCCTCTAGTAGGCAATTAGCCCATTTATGCAGACCACGGCTGTACGAAATTTTTTTTTGAGAGATTCTGTAACGTAACTAATAAATCGTTCGATTTATCGCAAAGCTGGGTCAAATGCCATTGAGGGTTGCGAATAGTGGAGCCCACCTTATGGTACATGAATCACTTGCGAAATAGAGAAATAATCTGTCGAATTAGCCATCACGGAGTATATGAGTTAAGTGCTTGAACGGACGGCGATTTAACTATTTACGAGATTGGATAAAAAAATACTCCAATGCTGTCCGCTAAACAAACATGCTGTTAAATTTCAGAATGGTGCAACCGTTTATGAGTTTGACATGGAATTAGGTTTGTTCTAGCAGTGCTCTTGTACCATTTCCTTGAACCATTTCATTCTCTGCCAATTATGAACGGCATTTGGCAGTTCACGAACATTCGCAAACGTCTGTATGCTGAATGAGAAAACCTTATTCATGGATTATATAACCATTGTAGAATAACTCGGCTATCGTAGATCTGTTCATAATTTTACTTGTCAGGTTATATAACTTTGGCAGACTTATTTTTCTCTTTAATATGCTAAAAAGTTGGATTGTTTGTTGATCTTATTGAACTACTAAAGTTTGGAATATCAACTCCATCATCAAAGTTTGCAACAGCGTTGGAAGTTCTGTCTATAACGCCATTGTTTATTCTCTGCTGTTGACTGAAATGGCATTGAAATCATTTTCATAAATGTTTAGGTATGAGCAGCGGGGACATGGGAATTACCAAATCGGCTAAGGAATGGAGCTATCAGGAGGTACGGACATGGTTGGAGGAGAACGGTTTCGCTCAGTACGCGGAGCTGATCGCCGGCCGCCACAAGGTTGACGGTAAGGTGTTGTTGTGCCTGTCCGAGGAAGATCTGAGGTGTCCGCCGTTATCTATCAACATTCTTGGCGACATCAAGCGTCTTTCTCAAGCCATCGACTGCTTAAAAACCGACGACGACGCGAACAGCGGTTGTTACTGCGACTGTCGACACATATGCAGTGGACAATGGTCACGAAACATCGTCACTGCGCTGCCGCCGTCCGCCTCTTCGTCTGCGGATCGTTCTGACAGGTAACGGTGGTAAACCTTACCGTTAATTATTATGTCTTTCGAACGTGACTACGTTATAGTGTTTTCTACAACACCGAAGAGTTGAAACAGAACGTCATAATCCGACGCGTGGAAACCGATGACATTCGATCTCACTGTAGTTGTGTGCTGAAAACGCTGGTGGCGGCCTTCTATTTCAGCTGTTCGATCCTTCTCACTTCGCTTGTCATGGTAATAGTTCACGATAGGTTTGTTTCGGCTGTTGATCGTTTGTCTTGCAGCGTGTTTCGCAACTGTTTTGTTTCGTAGAGTTCCCGACGCCAAGACATACCCGCCGTTGCCTGACATGCTGCTTGACAATATACCTCACATTCCGTGGGCGTTCTACTCGTGTGAGATCCTCGGATGCTTCCTGGCAGCCATCCTTTTCGTCATTTTCTTCTTTCACAAGCATAGGTATTTATTTGTTTGGCACCAGTCACGAATATTTTGCAATGGAAAAGAAAGACCAAAAATTGGGGATGCGGGCAGTCGCGTAATGTTTTGTAGTTTGCTTTGCGCAGAGGGTCAGGGTTCAAACTCCTTTGGCGGCATAAATTTTTTTTGTTAATTGCTAATTTCCTTGAGCGAGCAGTTGACCCCGTTGTGCTTCGGTGCAACCAGCCTAAAAAATTGAATAACAGGTCGCCGACCTTAGAATAATGAAGATAGCATGATGTGTTTTGGTGTGTTCATTCGAAAGAGTGCGCTTTTAGACTGCTATTCGCCTTTACCGATCTGATATCTACAAACATTTATTACCAGATGTAAGTATAAATTTAAATTTAAAGTAAAGAACTACACCTGAGAAGCATGCAGCAATGCTGACCTTGATGGATTACGAGGTTAAATAGGACATACACATGAGGAACATTACCGTTCTCAAGACGTAAGGTGCCTTAAAAATAGAACTCCAGTTTGTCGTTCTTTTATGGTGGCAAATTTCTGTTGTTTCCCTGTACAGCATTTCGACATGAACTTCCCAAATGGAATGAATCCATTGAATTCAATAAACGTTTATTTTTACGACGAAACTCGAGGCGCCAAACGAACGAAGAAGACCTCCAACATTGATAAATCGCAACCTTTTGTGTTTTATACATCAAAAGTCCTTCTGAGTCAGTAAGGAAGATTTTGAACTATCGAATATCGTCTTTGGTTTTGAAACAAAACGAAAATTGAAGATGAGTACTAACAGATGCAAAAAAATGGGACGCTTCCCATTTTATTTGCATCGGTGCTTCGAAGCTGCCATTTCAACAAATAATGACCGTTATGTTTTTTTTCCCGTTAATTATCTAAGAGTTTAGTTCAGGTTCAAGGAATATTATTAAATCCGGAACAAGATCTGAGACGATCTTGTATCTCAAAGAGACCAACCAGCATGTGTGGGTGGGTAAAAGCTGGTGTTGTTGCTGTCCCATTTTTGGATGACTAGCTCTGTTTTGTGTGCAAAGTCGTGACTTCTTCGTCCAGTTAAATGTGTTTGGTATTAAAGTAAGGTTGCATGAGTATGCTGATGAGTTTTTTAGCTAGAGACGTACTCGAGTTCACGCAGTAAAGGTTAATTGACAATTTAACCACTTGAAAGAGGAATCCATGTCGGACTGACTTTTTAAGTTTCTTCATGCCTGTTGATCTTCCTTATTGTCCGTTTCTCTGTGATTGCATCCAGAAACTTTCTTCTCCATTAGTTGGCGTCCGCATGGACGATGCTGCTCACGTCCCCTTGTATAACGTGGTTTTCTTATTATGCTGTGCTTCGTAACGGCCGAGCCCTTCTCATTCGCTGTTCTGAAATAAGGCGTGTTCAGTGATCTTTTACTTCAGTTTTCTACCGGTTTTTTCGTCATTGTGGCAGGCACACGACAGGCAGTTAAAAACA